AGAACAATGTATCTAATGTATTGCTCTCGTTACTTTCTAAATCTCCGCTTTCATTACAAGTTTGTTATAATGCTTTCTAGTGCTGTATTTTTCAGCCTGGGTTGGATCAGTTTTAGGAGGGCATAAGAAAATCACTTGGGGAGCTCTTGTGAAGTACATATACTCCCCTTTTCCCTTTTACATACTCTTATCTTCTTCAAAGTTTCAACAATATGCTCCACAAAGATAGGGATCTTTGTCTTTTTTGTTCACTGATGTCTTCCAAGTGGCTAGAATGCCTAGAACAGTGCCTGGAACATATGAGGCACTCAATAAATATTTTATTAATGAATGAATCCTATAAGAACACAATGGAGGGAGTTACTGGTTCTTCCTAGAGCAAGACAATTAGAAGGACATTAGGGAAAAACTATTTGTTGAACCATACCTTATGATTAGAAGTTCACTAGATAGCATAGTGAAGGAGACAATGTAGGCAGAAGAAATGGCTTGTGCAGGTCATGGAAGTGTGAGTATAGGGTATATTTGGTAAACTGACTGGAGTGGCAATATCTTAGCAAACTTAGGCAGACGAGACTATAAAAATTTGGATCCCTTTATGAAGGACTTTGAATGTCATGTGATATTTGTGCTATCTTATTATTGAATATTTTTCAAATTTTTTTAAATGGCAGGACAATTAGAAGGATGATATACAAAGAAGTACACTTTGTGAAACACTGTGCACTTTCCAGAACATTATAGGGATGTTGTGGCATTTGTTGTTTTTCTATTCTTTAAAACATTCTCTCTTCTTCACATGGCAAGTAGTTATCTGATTCCGGCTAACCTGTGTGCACTAATTTTACCTTACTGTCATTACTATGTGCTATACTTGAGATATATTGAAATTGTTCAATTCTTATTATTTGATCCTGAATTTTTATTCCCTTTTAGAGGATTTTATTTGAATGATATAGTTCATTACACGTCTGGAGTTTTCAGCTTTAATTTTATATACCATTCCTTGAAGTTTTATTTGGCTTATTGATATCTTCCCTACTTATTCTAGTTTTTAAAGAATGTTATAATACTTATTTTTTAATTTTGTAGCCAGCAATTCTAACATCTGAAATCTTTGCAGATTCAAGTTGGCCTTTGTTCATTTTGCTGACTGCT